GTAAAGTCGAGCAGACGGACTTTTATTTTTGTGCGAACTTTAATCGTGTACAAGAAATTTGCAATTCTGTAAAGCCAATTAAAAGATATCCCTAATTAAAAAATATCGGTAAAACAGAGAGACTCCAGCATCACCTTAAATACCCCGATTCTACGACGGCACGTACACTGAAAAAAAATGTCCGCTACCGTAGCTAATTGTGGTTTGCTAAAAATATTTTGCTGCTGTAACTATAAATTTCTGAACCACGGCAAACGGTTTGCTGTCGCACCCAATACATTAGGCACAGTAGCAAAATATTAAGCCATCACAACTGAACATTAGCTGTTCAAATTTTACAATTGAAATTTAGTTACCAGAATTTTTAGGCAGTTTTTAGGCAGCTACATTTATTTCGTGTATATTACAGCTTGCGTAAAATGTGAACTTTTGACGAAAGCTTAAATTTATTCTACTTTCACTGTTTTAAAGATGAAGGGCGCGATATTTAGGGTGAGATGTCTCGATTCGGAAGTCGCAGAATCAATGGCGCGATAATCGAAACCGATTAATCTAATGTTAAGTGCGAATGTGACTTGGCAGATCAATCCTTCAAAGGGACAGATGGTACTGAATGTCATGATTCAACGAAATCGGGAGAATCCTGCCGCCCTATGTGCCCGTAATTGGGAAACAAAGACGTCTCACTCGTGTTGTACAATCTTATTACACGATCGTGTCGACTCGACCAGATGAAATTAATCGAGGAAAGATCCAGCGATTAAAATTTACCGGTGGGTCAATCGAAGATATCGCGCGAGAAAAAAATTAATTTTCTTATAAGTGATTATTAGAGGTGTGACATTTATCTTCATACGCAAAATATCGCAAAATGCCCCGGGAACGTTTTTAATGTTCTGTATAAAGAATAAATAATTCATAATAATAATAAGATAAAATGCATCAAGCTCGCGAAATAAGAGACATACGCGCGACGCAATTTCCACGATAATCCCCACCCGGGGATTTCCCTCGAATTCAGGACGTTGCTGCGACGGCGCAGCATCCGATGATCGCGGCTGATTTACGAGGGCAAACATCGGGAGGAGAGAGAGCGGGCCGCGAATAATGCAAACGCCTTCATAATCGATACACCGTCGCTGCCGTAACGTGATCGGTGATAAATTCATATTTCCGATCGGTACGCGTCACGCGATTGCGGCGGCGATCAACAAATCGTAAAGCGAACGGACGGTCCTCCGCTTCTGGTCGGGCCGCGTGCGCGGGACAATGTCTGCCAATTATCGGACGATTGTCGGTGGTCGCCAACTGTCGGCCGGTGGCGGCCGGTCAAGTTGCCGGTCGATCGGGGGAGTGACTGACCACCGCTTCGGTCGACACGTCGTTAACTTTTGTCTACGAGAAAACTCGCCCGTCCGGTGCGCCTCTCGTTTCCGCGGGACGCAAAAGTTGCGGAACGGTCGAGAGAGCAGAGCTTATTCTACAATGGACGCAAAACGCAAGCCGCAACGCAAGAAATCGAAATACGGTCAAATATGAGAAGAATGATCGACTGTCGTTGGTCGATTTCTTGCGTTGCGGCTTAGGCCCGGTTTCACCAAACGTCGCTTAACTTTAATCTTAGTTCAATTCACGTTTGTCTCTTTCGAAAGTAACAGTTGACAAGAGAAAAACGTGAATTAAACTGAGATTAAAGTAAAGCGACGTTTGGTGAAACCGGCCCTTAACGGGCTGCGTTAAAGCGGACGTCACATCCAATCAGAGCTCACTCCGAAAAATTCCGTAACACGTGACCAGGAAAATATTGAATATGATTGTTAAAGGCGATAGACTGTTCAGAGATGGCTAGAATATTTCTGGTGGGCGATATTAAAAATAATTGTTTACTTTAAAACGCGAAACTTCCTTAGATCGAGAGAATGCTCGTGCTCGATTAGAGATACAACTGATATACATATAATAACTTCGTCCGGAGATCTCCAGGGTACGGAATTTTTCGGAATGGATTCCGATTCAGATCGGAATTGCTCAGTTATTTCCTCAGATCTCTACTGTGTTTTCTAGGAAACGGAATAATTCCGATCGGAATCCATTCCGAAAAATTCCGTAATACGTGACCAGGAAAATATTGGATATGATTGTTAAAGGCGATAGACTGTTCAGAGACAACTAAAATATTTCTAGTAGATGATATAAAAAATAATAGTTTACTTTAAAACGTTAGACTTCCTTAAGCACTTCCTCAAGGAACATCGAGGGGAATAAACCCTCGATTCTTTTATCGTTGCATCTTTCAGAGGCGATATTTATTAAAAAATTACGCGAAGCATATGAAAAATGTACGCGCCGATTGCAGGCGGTTCATGAAAGTCAGTGGAACAGAATGTCCATTTTTCTGCTCGATAAATAATCGCAAGGGGAAAAAACGGAAATGTGGGAAAAAGAGGGGGAGAGGGAACTTCGGGCGATGTTTTGCGGAAATTCTAATATTGTTGCAATCGCGGTCGATCATGGCCGGGCAAATACATCGCGGCGGTCCATCCCGTATCAATCGTGCCTCGTGTTTTTCTAAGAACACATCCGCCCGCTCTCTCGCCGGCCGGCGCGACGCGAGAGCCACGAATACGTAATTTTATGCGTGTTTGCTTTACGCATGGGGACACCGCTCGCGCGTGGTGTGTGTGTGCGCGCACGCGTTTTATATGACGTTGGGACGGAGGTGTCCTTACGCCCTTCCGCGCGGCATTGTTTGTCCAGAAGATGGACTGACCAGCGGCTAAATCCACTCGACATCAGCGCAGGCATATATGCATGATTGAAACGAAATTATGAATAAATATTTGCCGATAGAAAGTACCAGGTCCGAGGCGCCAGACGCCGTCTCCGAAAAATTGCGAAGCGCGGGCATCAATCGCGTATTTCTTTTTTAAATTCGGTCCCGCGTATATAAATCCGGTGTTTTTTTTAAATTAGCTTATGATAAATAAGAATCTTTTTGTCCCCCGGGTGGGTCTTCGATCCTCTCCGCCACCCCCGTGTCCCACGCGCGCGCTTCGTTGATCTCCGCGGTGATGTCAGGTGTAATTTTGCGTCCCGATCTCCCGATCAATGACGCGAATCGATCGGTGACGTGCGATGCAAATAGCGATTCTACGCAATGGAACAAAAAAAAACGTGCGGATATCGAGGATCGTCGACGGCACGCCCTTTCCCTTCTCGCGTGTGCGCCTTCACGTGCGTACGCAAACACCTCGATTTGCGCCACGTGTCTTCACGTGCAGAAGTCGCGTGCGGACCGGAAGTGCGAGGACGGATACTTTGGCCCTACTCACGGCCCGTAATACGGAACGATGTAAGTCATTGATAGCGTAACCTGCGCGGCGCTTAATGGTGCCCGATGACTCACAGGCAGCGGTCCCCGTTCTCCTTCTCGAGTCAGACCTTTTCCTTTCTTTCTTTTTTTTTTAAATAGAGACGGGCGCCTTAATACTTCACGTATCGATTGGCTGCGCCAAGGGGGTAACCGCTAGCTAAAATGTTGTCCCACCGACTACACGATTTCGTCTGATTACAAATAATCTCATCTAATTGCAAATAATTTTCTTATACGCGCGTTTAAAGGTACGTAACGTTGTTAAACCTCAAAGAGCTGTTAGTTTTCCCACAAAATATATTTTTCTTATTTTACTAACAAGTATTTGCTTGTAGAGGTAATTTCAGTTAAGATTGTAGTATTCGGCCACGTGTTTCCTTGCTTCCCACTTTTCCCGCTAGTCCAACCGTGGTCTTAACGAAAAGTAATTTTGTAGTTGTATTTACTGCTCCAAATTTGCGCGCAAAGGTGTATCAACTCGCTGTTGTTCTATAACCAACAACTACTTCAGTCTTATTACGAAAAGAATGCGCGCTTGTGGACGTGAACTACAATATATATTTGGATATTTATTGAAAGAAGTAAATTTTTTGAGAAGATGGAAACAAGCTGAGAAAATGTTCCAATTTAATGTTTATTGTCTAACAAGTGAAGAAACTTGAAAATTAAGACAAAACGTTTACACGGGGATTTCGTGAGGATGTCATAATGATTTCGGAGGCGCTGTCTCACGATTACATCAAGCGGTCACCCCCTTGGGCTGCGCCCTATGGAGCGCGACCGATTTGCCTGCAATGCAGGGAACACTCGCCGCACACGAATAAGTGCCATTTATAAAGTCAAAGCTAAATCGCGCGCGAGATTTCGCGGAGGTGATATTACGTGGACTCTCTTTAAATCGACCCTTTCGCTCGAGGACTCTCATCCCTTTATAGAATTCCAGCCCGGCAGCGCGCGATACCTATGGGAACCGGGTGGCCTCTCGCGCTCTTCCTGTCCAGGAGGCATTAAAAGACACGGTGGGTCCGCGCAGGAAGGTATTACATAATACGGAAGAAGGACTATCCGTAGGGTGGGCTCTAGTGAGTTCGGGGCGACGAAGAATGGCCGATCGGTGGTGCGAGGTGCAAAAAAAACGGGCACGCGATCCACTTTGTATTCCTCCCTTTCTCCCGCTTTCTCTCTCTCTCTCTCTCTCTCTCTCTCTCTCTCTCTCTCTCTCTCTCTCTCTCTCGCTCTCTTTCTTTCTTTTTACCTCGCTCGCGCCCTTGATCGCGTGATGACGTGTGCTGGACGTGTGTGCACGCGACGCGGTGCACGTCTCGCGATACCCGCTGCGCGATCGTCGTCGCGCCGCTTTCATCGCTCGCCCCGGCATGCGATCGCCAGGGAAATAAGCCGATCTTCTCGTGCAAGACGTGATGTTAATCTGCATTAAAATCTGCTTGTAGTATACAGTTTCTCAGGAAACTGATTCGCGTGTGTAATCCAACGAGAGATCGATGTTTTTCGAAACTTCCTTGCATCGTGCATACTGCAAGACCGAGAATGTTGCTGCGCGTTGTAGCAGTTTCAAACAAATTCTCCTTTTTAAAATTATATAACATTTATAACACACTGTTAAAATTTTTTAAATATTTTAACGAAAGCTTTGCGTATCCCCGCGATACTGAGAAGTGCATTTTCGGCCGCAATTGTTAAATTTCCTCTTGCGTACGTAACAAAAACCGAGTTTATATTAAATTATTTAAAAAATTCACATTGAAAGACGAATAATAAACACGTAGGGAAAAACCTACGCGAGAACCCGCGATATCATTTTCAGATTGCAAAGCCAGTGCTAAGAATAAAACGAATTCGGCTTCGTTCCACAGCCTTCCCGCAACATCGTTTCGATCTTTTCCCAGGTTTTTCAATTTACTTTCCGCATTTCATGTCGCGTAATCGCGCCCGGTCGATCTCCGCTGAAAAGTTAACGATACGATTAGTCAGCTCCGTTCCCAGGCGCCGATAATCATGCGAGCGCGTGCCGCGTACGATTCCTGTGTGAACTTTATCGTGATCGCACCCCCTGCTCCTCCTCCTTCTCCCTCTCTCTCTCTCTCTCTCTTACACACACACACACACACACGCCCCCCCTGCCGCACTCCCGACACGCGTGAACGTCTCCGTGACTATACGAGCGTGCGAACGTCGAAGGGGGGTTGACCCACGCGAGGGTGGCACCGGAGTGATTTCATGGTGGCGCGCGCCTACCTCTTCGAGAGATCGAGGAGAAGGCATCAAGACTGATTGTCTTACCGAGTCTTTCAATTTCATTATGTCGTTCTCTCTTCCTCGAACGAATAAAGACCCCTCTCTCCACTTTGCGAGGCTATTGTAGGGATTCGAGAGCGATGAAGTACCTCGATGTGAACGAATTCGTACACGATCGAAACCCCGGCAAATTGTACGGAAGTTCCGTCTGACAGACTTGTTTAAACGTTAATCTGACACTAGCGAATGACACGGTAACGTTACACATACAAGTTTTCTCGTAGAGAAATTTGTCAAGTTGGAAATACCGCGCTGTGATTTTTTCTGTGTGTGTTTTTTTTAGACGATATAAACGATAACCGCGACCTTTCGGTAGATTGAAGTATCGGGAAGCGGTAATCTGAAAACGATAATATCGGGAAACGGTGGGAATTGACGCCAGCCTGGAAAAAAGAAGGAGACCGTTTCCGGTCCCTTTCTTCTCGCACATCCGGCTGGCGGCGGAGAGCGGCGAGAAGATCGCTTCCTCCTCGGTCTCCTTGACCGAGTGCAGCGCAGGCTCTGGCCGGCGGTCGCACAATCAAGGGCCCACACGCTTGCACACACGCGCTCACGCACGCACGCACGCACGCTCGCACACGAGTCGCCGCCGCGGACGTTCCCACGAAAGTCGCCCCTCCCGATTTACGTTCCCCTTCGTCGGCAACCCTCTCGCTCTCTCCTTTCCTCTTGCGCGCCGCGCGCGGGGTGCCTTTCACCTCGGGCGGACGCGCGGAGCCCCTCCGGTGCCCCACTCCCCATCCCGAGGGTGCACACCTCCGATCATCATCCCCACCAGGATCGCCGATACACCACGCGGTCGTGTGTCGTCCCTGCGTCCTCCCGCACACGACATACGTCGGCCGCCACGCGACCAGTGCACACGCACATCCTGCGGCAGCAGCAGCAGCAGCAGCAACGGCAGCGGCAGCAGCACGGCAGTCAGCGGCCGCCGAGAGTGTGCGTCCAGACCAGTCGCGCTTCTTCCTCCACGAGCACGCACGCGACCGCGAACGGCGTCGCGGGTAGCCGCGGCACGTGGGCGCCGATAAACTCCCGCCGTCGACGCGAGAGACAAGTGCGCGCACCGAAGGACCGAGTGCTCCTTTCGCCGCCCGGAAACCGCATCCCGCCGCGCGCGCAGCCCTGACCTTGCTCAAGATTCCGCCACGCGATTCCGTTCGCAAAGTGGCACCGGGGCGCAAGCTACGTGGCCTTCGGTCATCCGTGAAGACGTTATCCCAAGTCCCGGCCATTTTCGGAGCGGAATTCGGGAATTCTGTCACGCGAGTTTCAAGTTTTTTTTTCCACTCACGCAACTACTGTCGCGCGTTCAACAATAAGAGACCATCGGTTTCGCGGGTCCTTCAAGGATCTCGAGCTTTTAGCCATAATTACTCAGTGGAATCTGAGGATTAATCATAAACACTTGGTGAAGATGGCATGAGTTTTAATCGCTGAAGAAATGCTACAGACTTTCCCATAAACGAACAGTGGTCGGACTTTAGACAGACGCCAATCAAATAGACAAGATTACTCCAGAGAAACTCGTGCGCTAATAAAAAAAAAGCGAGAAGCTACTTCATGCTTATCCAATGATACCGGTGTTGTCCGCGAGTTATCAGTGTCACTTGATCGCTTCCTTCGCCAGCTGGACAGCCGACCGGCTGGCGGCCGATGCCTATCCTCGAGGACTAACGACCGTCCCGCGACGCTGCAATGACACCTCGTCCGTGCATCGTTATGGCATCGACGTATCGCATCGGGCGGTAGCGTACGATTGAGTGACCAAGCGACTAGATACCTCTTGGAATCCTTACGCAGGATTGTTCGCCGATCGCTTCGATCCTTTCGTCCGACGAGTCTCTCCCTCTCTCTCTTTCTCCCACGGACGCAACATGTGGCGGGTGGTGGTCGCGCGCTCCGAGGACAACAGCACCCTGCTGTCCTCCGAGATCACTTCCGGCGCCGTCGCGCCCGGTCACCTGTCGACGCTGCCGGCGCCGCCGTCGGGCCACCATTGGGGCTACCCGCCGCCGCCGCATCATCCGCCGTATCAGCCGCAGCACCCGGACATGCGTCACCACCACGACATGCGTCCGCCCGCCTCTCACGGCGAGCTGCGGCACGCCATCGCGACCCCCGGCGATCTCAGGAGTCAGGAGCTGCGGCACGAGATGCAGCGGCCGGATCTGCGACACCCGGCGGAGATGCAGAGGCATCAGGAGGTGCAGAGGCACCAGGAGCTGTCCAGGCACGACGTCGCCAGGCATCAGGACGTCCGGCACCAGGACATGCCGGAGCTACGCTCCAGTCACGAATTCTTGGAACTGAAGATCGATACGGAATTAAGGACCCAGGACAATGGCCAGCAGCAGCAACAGCAGCAGCAGCAACAGCAGCAGCAACAGCAAACGCAGCAAAATCAGGGGCACCAGCAGAGAAGTCTGAAGAGGACCATGAGCGACTCTGACTGCGACGATGTATTCTCAGAGGAGAGCGGCAAAGAGCCGTACGTATATCTATTTTGTACCCCGCCAATCGTGCGTTGTTTTATACAAAAGAAGATAAGATCTTTCGTATGGTCGTGGCACAAAAACAATTGAGCAATCGATTCATGTTATCCCTAGTTGCACAGTGCATTCGCCGATATTGTCCATCGTAAAGCCAATATTGGCCATGAAATAAATGTAAATGTTGCACGATAATAATGATGTAATACTAGATTTATATTGGAAGTGCATTGGCAATATTTAACAATTTAACAATATTTAACAATATAAGAATATTGGTCTAATATTGATACAATAGACACATGGGCTATATGAGAGAAGGCGTCCATTTTACAATATTCGACCAATATTGGAAACACTAGATTTACATTATTTCCCAATATTGTGCTACTAGAGTTGATTCTCCGAGATCTAGTCGAACAGCATTTCTAATTTCTTTCGAGATGAGATTCAATATATCGGAAATGCCGTATTATTAATGAAATGTAAATAAATATTCTTCACAACGTGCTTGTTGAAGCAAGTCTTCGGAGATTGTCGGGCCGCTTGCCGACGCGACATATTGCGTCTCTTTGTTCCGCGGTAAAATCGCAATCAGGGCGGCATTGTTTCAGCACGGTCGAAATTAATGAGCGAGTTGTTGCGCGTTCCGCGAGGTGGATCAACAATGTATAATTAAAACGAGTCCTCCCGTGCGCTCCCAATCGCCGAATCTTGAACAAAGGAGAACCGCGGAGCGTCTTGACGCGCCGTTGTGTGTGTCTCAACCCTTCCACGAAATTCCCATTGCAGATGCAACTCGCCCGGCGGAGACTCATGCCAGCACGCGTCGCGGAAACGCAGGAGGGGAATGATCGAGAAGAAGCGGCGCGACAGGATCAACGCGTCCCTCGGCGAGCTGAGGAGATTGGTCCCGGCGGCGGCGAGGGATCCTCACAGCGGAAAGCTGGAGAAGGCCGAGATTCTGCAGCTCACCGTCGAGCATCTGCGCACGCTTCGCAATAAGGGTAAGACCGTGTGTCTTTTTCAAACCCTCCCTCCTCTGTGTCGCTCGAGTTATTCGTTTAAATCAGCTCGTTCCACTGCGAAGCTCTGGCCTTACTCCTACTACATGTCTCCAGGTGCTATTTTTATTTCTTAGTCTTCTAGAACAACAAAGATTCCGTTGGGGACGTACAATTTAATTTCTTCTTCTTCTTCCTTGTGTATTAGGCTTAAAGCCTCTTTTATCCAGTTCGTTCTAGTACTTTGAGCATTTTGGTTTTACTTCATCTTCGGTAGGCTGCTAACCTCGCCGAAGGAAACCTCCAATCTGAAGGGCTTTGACTTTAACTTGATATACTTGAACGAAGACAGTCAGTTTTGATTTAGCTAATCTGTGTTAACGCGAGGCTGAGCGCTCGAAAATCGTTCGAGGTTTATCGCTTCCCGCGGCAAGTTACGTAACGGAAGTGCACGTCGAAGGATGTAACGGTGTCGAGTAATAAGATCCCTGAATCCGGAAGAAACGCCCTTTCCCGTTGCAACGCGTAGCGGAACTCGAAGACGATCCTTCGGGATCGAAGAAACACCCCTTTTCTCCGCCTCAGATTCCTCAGGCCCTTCATTAATGATCTCACGACGTGTACGAAGGCTGCCCAATCGCGTCAATTTCATTCTTACGCCATTATTACGTCTTTCTGTGAGCCGGCGCTACAGGCCCTTTATTTTCCACCGGAAGACACCTGTTGGCCGTAAGAGCGAACAGCGCTGACTGTAACTGCGTAACCGAATGCCCATCTGTCGCCTCCGCGTTTCCTCATTAAGCAGATTCGACAGAACGATTACCGGCATAGATTTGTAAACTAGATTTCTATAGTTTAGTATTCGCTGCCTAGTTTTACGTTCTTCTATTCTGTGCCACGATGTTCTAATGTATTCCTTCACCAGTGATAAATGCGTATCATTTTATCAGAATGATTTTTGTTACGAATATAACAGGGAAAAATTAACAAGTTGATTAACTCGCGAATTGTTATTGCAAACTCCAAGTACAGTGCTCGGTAGCGTCAACATTATTATCGGCATTTATTTTGACATTGTTATTTTGTAATTGAAAAAATCTCTCTCTCTCTCTCTCTCTCTCATAATTGCGCGATTAATTCGCGCATTTAAGTATTTTCGATAAACCACGGCGGCGCGAAGAAAATCGCGAAAACAAAGTGGCATATGGCGAAGGCGAAGAAAGAGCCGGGCCGTAAACGGGATTCACGAGGGAGCAGGTGCTGGACCGGGCGCGTAGATCCTGTGGGAAGCACAGGAAGTCAACGACTCTCTGGAAGTGGTGTTCCCACGATTGGTGGCGGCGCGCGGGCTGAGGTGTTCCGCGCGGCACCCCTCGCGAGGGAGGCGCCCGGCGGATCAGGCCTGGGGCAGATGTCGAACCCTGTGGGAAACCAGCTAGCTACGCATAAGCGTGCACGGACACGCACCGCACGCACACACGCGCTCGCATGGGCGCGCGTGTGCGTGCGCGCGCGACCTCCTTATTTGTAAATGCGTGCGAGGGGCGCGACCCATCCCCGAAAAGTGAGCGATATTAAATTTAATATCGGCAAATAAAACGATCGCGGCGTTTCGGCATCGGCGTGGGACGGTAGTCTCGCTCTCGCGAGGTTTGCGCAGCGCTCGACGACAATTACGTCTCGCCGGCCGACCGCTTCGGGTTTTTAGCGAAACGGCTTCGCGATGCCTCGTCAGTCACGGATTAATATCTTATGAGACAATATCCTCCCCACGCTTCTCTACAATGATATAACAAAAAAGTTTCGCCGAGTGCAAAGAAGTTTCATCGAGTTTGACATTCTCTTGGATGTTTCGCGCAACCTCATTTCTTTTTCAACGCAAGCGAACTCCGGACATGTCCCGTTTGCATAGACGTTTCCGAAGTTTCGAGGCCACTTATCGAGGCTTTAGCGATGATCGATCGCGCAACGATTTGACGTACGAGAGCTGCACGATAGCCTTCCTTTCGTAAGCGATGTTTGCATAGGGCGGTCTGAGAACTTGCATAATAACGTGGGACACTCCGCTCCGTTCACGGTGTGCGTGTGTATCTCGCATGAGGCTCGTGAGGCCGGCCTATGGGGGTCTAAACGATTCCCACGCTACCTGTCCCATTCCACATTATACACAATGAGCCGCCTGCTACTAAAGCCAAGGCGCCCATCTCGCCTCGGTGCACGTACGCCGGGCCATTGTTGCCCCGCGAAAACCAAAAGTGCACAAAGGACCTCTCCGTCCGCAGATGCACTTCCACGTTGTCAATCTGCGAGCTGCCCGTATCGTGATTTAGGGAAAAGTGCCGGGAAAAGCGCGATATCATCTTTTGACACCTGCCCTTTCATCGGCATCTTCCCCCGCGCCCGGGACCGACTCCCTTGGGAAACGGAGGAACAAATTTCGCGTCTTAAATCACCGTATCGCAGAATAATCCGTGTATACTGTCTACGTGCGTAAAAAAAAATATTGCACCTCCATCACGTCGCATCTACGCTTCTCCGAAGCGTTCGATAGCGAGTTCAAGTCTAATTTAACTTTGAGTTAAATCAACTTCCTTCTCGTTCGCAGTTGCCGCTAACTAATAGTTACCAAGATTACTTGCCGGAGCTTCGCTTATAAATTCCCTATCCCGTGAGAAAGTTTTCTTCATCGCGCGTTTTAAAGTCCTCGAATACACGTATTTACGGACTGACACGAGCGTCAGTATCTTATTATCGTTATTGGTTCAGCGCGCACGACAGTCGAGATCGTCATCGTGATCGCGATGCAAATCACAATTGCAGGACCAGAGGGCTACGACAGCACGAAGCTGGCCATGGACTACCACGCGGTAGGCTGGGGCGAGTGCGCCGCCGAGGTGGGCCGCTACCTGGTCACCATGGAGGGCCTGGACGAGAGGGATCCCCTTCGGCTGCGCCTGCTGTCGCACCTGCAGAGCTTCCATCGCGAGCATCCCCCGTCGGCCGTGCCCTCCGCGGTGCCGCCGGCATCCACGACGTTGACGTCCACCTCGACGGCCAGCAGCTACGAGCCGCCGCCGAGCACGGTCTCCGCCGGGATGCCGCCCGGCCCGGGTGCCATGCCGCCACTTCTGGGCGGCGGCACCCTCGGCTGGGGCCAGTACCCGGGTCAGTATCCCCAGCAGCAGCACGGGAAACCTTATCGACCCTGGGGCGCGGAACTGGCGTACTGACCGTGAACCCTTTTGACGCGCAATCGATGAAGGTTCGGCGCGAGAGTGGTAAAATCCGAGACGACACTTCGACGTGATTTCACTATTTTCTCTCTTCCTTTTATAACAGTTTATACGCGAGGTCCCGAGTCGGATATTTTGGCCTCAGTTTAGCCTCGTACAATTTTTTAATCGGGAGCAATGAGGTCGAACTAAGGTCTTCGCGTCGGAGAAAATATATTGAATTTTTTACCTCGGGCCTGAAAGAGTCGCTATTTCCCTTTTAGCAGTCAAGAGGCCAACGCGAGTGTAATCAACAGAGGTTCAACAGATCCTCTTCGGCCTAAGAGACTTAAAAGAGGGTCAAGTACTTTATTACATTCTCTTTCAGAGTTGGAATGAGATTAAACACAATTGTTTTACTCATCTGGGCCTCACATTGGAGCTTCAGACAGACTCCGAGGTCCAAATGAAGACAGAATAGAATAATTGAGGCCCATTCCGGGACCAAATACTCGACTTGGGATACGGCACAAATAGTTGGAGACTGAATATATATCGAGCTCTTCCGCAAATACCTATATTTCCTGCGTGCAGGGTGCAAATTATACCGCTCTTTCGCCGATCAGTTCATGTGTAAGACTCAATTACAGCGTATGTTCGCGCTCACGTTGATAGGTCGGTTGTTTCTTTTTCGAGGAGTTGTTAATAGTGTACGATTTGTAATATTTACGCGCGGAAAGACCGGCTAAGGCAAAACTAACGAAAATTTAAATGTTCTATCTTCGGGCATCTACATTGTTTCGCGTTGCAACATTCTCTAAGATTGCCGAACAAAACGCATATAGTTGTCTTCACCACTTATCATACCAATGTGGGTATGACAATTACAGATACAGCTGTCCCAAATATTACTATTTATTGTGCAACCCTAATTAGCAGGGTTGGGTAAGTTATTCTTTTTTTTTAACTAAGTTAAGTTAAAGTTAACAGCCTTAAAAATTTAACTTATTGTTAGTTAAGTTACAAGTTAATTCGTAATACAATTAATTGAATTAAAAGTTAAGTTCATAATTTAAAAAAATTAAAAAGTTAAATGTTTTACTTTTACATAAAATCTCAGAGACTTGCGATCACGTAAATTGCATTGAATTTCACGACTAGCGTTTGGACAATCACTCACACTACACGGGATCTGGCCCACTTTGTATGCCAACAGTTTCACGTGAGTTAGAGAATCGAAACCCCATATAATGGCCGTGTTCCAAAATTCATTACCATTCATTACACAGTAAATTTTAGAGCTGGCAGTGAATTTTGAAACACAGAGACTGCCAATGTAGGCAGACGCATCTCGCGACGTCCTTGTTTATGGCATGGCTAACTTTAAGGCCCGGTTTTTCATTTTCTGGTCAATTGTTAACCAGAGATTGGTCTTAACAATCTCTGTCTCGTCTCAGATAATAACATGAAAAAAGGTGTAGAGTCGACTAACTTCTGGTTAATTGTTAACCACAAGTTAGTCGACTCTCTATCTTTCTTTATATTAATATCTACGCAGTGACAGAGCGTCGACTAACCTCTGGTTAACAATGAACCAGAAAATGAAAAACCGGGCCTAAGAGAGAGGTAAATTAAAAGTTAAAAGTTACCGATAAAATGCAACTAAATTCAGTTAAATGTTAACAGCCTATAATGTAACTAAGTTAAAATTATTTAACTTTTTAACTTTTCAACTTAACTTTTATCTTTTTAACTAGACACTACCCAACCTTGCTAATTAGACATGTGGTAACCGTATCGGTCTCTCCGTGCGATTAGCAGGTATTAAACATGGAACAAGAGCAACGTGAGCGGCGAATTCTTGCCGCTCTCGTGTACGGCCGTGGTCAGAAAGGTTGTCCGACGTTTTACAATAAGTTTTCGGAACGTTCGTAAGTATCATTGCATAGATACTTGTACATATCATTCCTTTGCTTCAATAATGCGCCGCATATCCGTAAAATTTTTCTCAGAAAATGCTTCGGAACAAACCTGAATCTAAGTACGCGTTTTTAAACTCACTAAAAGAAAAAGTGTCGCAACCATTCTGTCCATCGCTGTACGTACGACATACATTTTGTACAATGTTTTGAACGTATCTCAGGAACTTCCACAACGATGAAATCAATATATCAATATATTTTCAATGAGTGAGATAATGATAGTCACGCGAGTATCTAACTAAAAAGATATTTATTAATAGAGAGACAATTGTGTATATAAGTTGTACATACGTTTTGTAAATAATGAGAATTTTCGTAATTTTATCGGATTGTCTCGTAACCGTGGCCGCACCGAGTTTTTTTTTTTTACTTTTACGCGTCGCCGTTTGTCCCGCTCGCGCTCGTCATGATAAACGATTGCGCGAGCGTGTAAAGTCCGACAAAAAAGGAAGAAAGAGAGACGGCCGTCGTATACGCATTCGCAACGTGCCATTACGCGCTTCGGTATATACGTGTGGGAGAAATCCAAGTATTTTTGCAATACGATTTTGTAATAAAGCGATAACGCGAGGAGTACAAATATAGATTCTTGTCGCATGTGATTTCCCTCCTTGCACTTTCCTCCGAGAGAGTCCAATCAATAACGCGTTTCCGAGAATCGCTAATCGGTTTACGCGAGTAGGAAATCATTGCATCGGGAATCTCGTTAGATAACCGGTGTCGAGGTGGTTCCAGGAGAGGCACAGTAAATCGTGTCCCGCAAACACATCCTCATCGATCATTCGTGAAGCCTCGACACTCGATATCTGCTACTCAAATATTTTTGATGTCACAACTCTACCGAATATGTTCGATGCCACGACTCCGCCTATTACGAAATCTGTTTGCGATCTCTGTTTCCGAATCGGAAACGCGAGTATCCGAATTACGCTGATCGTGTAAAACGAACGATAAGGCCGGCTTATGGCGAAATCGGTAAAAGTTAACCAATTACAGTCGACCGTTCCCTTCACTTTTAACGGTGATTGAACAATTTTTACCGATCCCGGTATAATTCAACAGTTATGGTCTTGCATAGACCAGCCTACAGCGATCGTCTTCGAAAGGACTTCCGCGACTATCCCATCTTATCATAGACATCCGATTAGCTGAGACGACCGTCCAATTGCTCGCTAGAGCAGAAAATACATTCCGATCGAGACGCAGACATTGTCACAATTAAAGATTTTTACCATCAATGTCCGTCGTGTCTTCTTCCTCGTTTGCTTTCCAGGTACGAGAGGAGGAAACGATGGTGAGGCTACGATTCGAGTAACTAGAAAAACATTAACTGGAAATCGAATATTTGTTAATGCCAGTGCGGACGGAATCATGGTGGACCACTCGATCTCGCGGCACTTATCCATACGTGGCAAACGAGCGGGCTTTTGTACGTCCTGTGCACCCATACCTCGCGCAAAAACCGCCACAAAATTGCGGGCGAGAATTTACGCGTTCAGGGAGGAGGAGAAGGAGGAGGAAGAGGACGCTCCGCTCCTTTTCTCATGCAAAACTCTCTTTCGCAGACGCGGAATATTCTCGGGACACGTAGAACAATGCGGGGCTTACGGCCCTTCCCGTTCGCGCTCTGTTCGCAAACCAGTTTTGCGACTCATTAGCTTCGCGACACAGTTCGCGTGTGCGCCCGCGCATCCCTTTTCTCTCTTTTTCCCTGTCCGTTTTTTTTTTTAACAAACTCCAGCCAACGGCTCTACTTTTGTTCTCCGCGCGCGACGACTGGGCCGTCGGCGGAACCCAATTTTCGGGAATTACTGATATTGCGCGGCCACGTGCGCCCCATTGTTCGGAGCGTGCTCGTTACGCGCGATCCTCCTGCGGGTCGCACGCGCGCATAATTGCGCGAAACGCGCGCCCACGTGGTCTCCTGTCAAAACTTGACGCCGCACGTCGGACTAACGCAAAACGGAACGGTCGTTTTCTGAGTCAGTGGCGCGGGCTGCTCGACCTACATTAAAATCGCGGGCCGATTAAAATGGCGGGGCTCTACACCCCCAGAAAGGATTTCTGTTACCGAGACAAAAAATATTCTTGGCGCATTTGTATTTCTCACAACCACATTTAGTATAAGAATGTGACAATATCAAAATAAAATCAATAATTCTGATTCTCCTCTGTCGAATTAAAAAAGATCGACTTACTATATTGAGACAAGAGTAATTTATACAATAAATGTAAGTTTATGTATTCGTGCGTTTAGAAGAAAGTTTCCCTCCGTCTTACAACGCACGAAGTTGGCACCACGATATTCGGCAAAAGACGATTCTAGATTTTAGAATTTTTCATTTAAGATTAAAATATTTCTTTCTCTATAAGAGATATGATTGGCGCTTTATCGATCCTATTTTTTGATACATTCAAGTGTAATAGCATTGAATCCGGACATTTCTTTCTGTAGGTGTAGTCAGGGAAAGAGCGGGACTGAGGAAAATGGTAAATGCGAGAGTACACAAGTTTATTTGAAAACTGTAGCATCAGGTGTCTCACTGAGAGTCGTATAATTATATTGATTCTTGAGCGAATCTCGAGGGAGGATCTTCCTAAGGGAGTTCGAGGGAGTCGCGGGAATTCTCTCAAGTGAGTCTTAAAGGACTCTTCACTTTAAACGGAAACCTATTTCTTTGAGGATTAAGAAGCACTCTGTTAAATTTACAGCGCCAAAACTTGACTCAACTGTTCCTACTCAATGTACAGTGCTATTCATTAATGCCTGGACCTCAGTTTTACTACCCTCGCAGCACAGTGCATTGGCTAAACGTTGGTAAAAAATGCAACCAAATATTGGGCCAATGTTTAACCAATGTTTGGTCAATGCACTGTGCTACTAGGGTAGGATTCGCATTTTCATAAGCTTTATTCCTATCTACACATAGATTGGTTTCAGGGGTTTCAGTACACACAGACTTCTAAAGAAGTATGTGGTGGTACATACAGCCTGAAACTCAGCGATTTGTATAGATGCAAAGAATGATGATAAAAATGCAGGTCCAGGCCATAGACTTATATAAATAAATTGCGCGTGAGGTCTATCCATGTTTTCCCCCTACTCTTTGCGTATAAGAGAGAGACAGCATTACGGACGGACTAGAGACCCTGTAATCAGAGACTGGCCATATTCTACGATAGTAGAAGAGTGAGATAGCCTATGTTTCTCTCTTACTCGCGGGAATTTGACGAACTCTTACGGCCAGTCTCTGATTACAGGGTCTCTAGGACGAACTATCTCTGTCCTTCAGATCTTCGTTTCAGCTCGGCCCGTATGAAAGCGCAGTCTACATATATAAGTCTATGGGTCTAGGCATTTAATGAATAGCACTGTACGTCGGTATTTTTGACTGCCACTAGTGTAAAAATTTATTATAAAAGCCTAATTAAAAGAGCAACTGCATCCACTATTCGACTCATTTCTACGGTTTCTTTTAACGCCATTGTTCAGTTAAATTAACCGCATGTCGAATGGGAGCGGTGGCGGCTGAAATTGAGGGAAATTCGGCGCTACGGGTTCGACGGTGTACAAGGAAATTCGAATTGCAGCTGCGCGTTAAAGCCCGATCGCAATCGATACCAAATAGAAGAACGGAGTCTATGAAAATGAGGCGGGTAAATGGAGATATCGCGAAAATCGTTATCGAGTCCCGTGCTATAAGTATAGGCTATTGTTACACGGGCATTGGCGAAAGTGGAGCAGCGTGTCGTTAAAACGTTATTAGAAGCAATGCGGAATTACAGGGGCGAGACTATAGTTGGCCGTCGCGAGGCTACTATGACCGACCTCTCATTACACGTTTCTCCGGAATGATCGTTACGGCGCCGTAATGAGAAAATCGCGCCCGCGGATCGATAGCCATTACCAATTCAAACGAAGGACTCCCGTGTGTCTTGCAATACATATTGTAGTGCACGCGCACATGTGCCACATACTTTTACACATGTCGCGCGCGATCAATGAAACCCGGCGATGACAGGGGGTCATGGGAACACGTCCGGGTTCGTCAATAAAACCATTTTATTTACGACACTCACACCCGCTTTACAAAGTCACAGCCTTATCGAGACGATAAAGTATATCAACACGCATCATCGCATATTACACATCCGTATTTGTGGTTCCTCTTTTTATATATATATAAATTCTGCATCTATACATAGATATATATATATATATAAGTCATTAAAGCTCTTCTTTTTTTTCTCCTTCTCCCGCCTCTTGCAAGTCGACCCGTAGGAAGAAAACGTATCTCTCGCTACTGTTTTTTTCTTTTTTAAGTGAAGATTGACTTTGCGCGCTTTGAGCAAAGGTGCCGGAAACGATCGGGAATAGAAGAACTCGGTTCGAGTGTTCAGGCCGGTGCGACTTATTGCATAAGTACCCTCGATAGTCGAACTTGACGAAAGATATATAAATTCAAAAATAAATGTTACGAAAGGACCGCTACTAGTTCGTGTAAAATCGATTTCCGAAATGTAAAAGTGGCATGTAGAGATACGACGCTCTCTTTTTTTAGAATTAACAGGTAACTCTGTATCGAGGGTTGTATCAGCTAACTAATCTAACGGATGCACCTTGACCGCGCAAGATATTGAACACCTAGGACGATTATACAGCGTAAAAGTGACGACGACATCAAGTTTAAAAAGTCGGGTTCACCCTCGGAAACTTTTATATCCCCGATAAATAGCGGGAATATAATCGGAGTGCGCCCTACTCGTGACTGATCGGCCGAAATTTCTTATAGCGAGTTCGCTTGCCTGCACTGGTGCGCACCGAGTGCACGTTAAGGCTTGCCTATAGTCAACTGTTATATTTAACTTTGTCTCAACTCGTTCAACAAGTATTTAGTCAAAAAAATGACCCGTACGGATGCTGTACAGATCGTTTTACTGGCGGAACGAATGTGTCTCGAGAGACATTTACGACGATCCGCAAATACAAGAGTGGTCTGTAAACAAGTGTGCACTGCGTGCAACCGAATTCGCTATTACATTTTGGTTCGTCGATACGTATACAATCGAGTGCCGCAGAAGGGCATTTGCGTCAGTGCACAGTTAAGTGAAGAAGTAAATAGTTTCCCTCGTTAGCCTAAAAATTCCACGGTCGTTATTCTAATCGCTAATCTAACGTCCCCCCGAGGTCTCCCCTCGGGGTTTACAATTAGAGATAATACAAATTACCTGGACAGTACAAGGTCCCGCCGCGGACACGTCTGGGACATGCCGCGAGGGCAAATTATCGGTTTGCTAAAAAAAACCCAGTTCGCGACACCGAAAACAGTATATTGCAAAATAGCGATCCACCAGAGTTAGACCCGATATGATGAAACCGCGCGGGTGACGGATGGAAAAAGTGTATTCCGGACGTCATCCCGGCGCGAACGATCGTCAATAACACGCTAGGCGATATATATTTTTCTTTTGTACTACGTCACATATTGCTATTCCCTAGTAAGTATATCGAAAGAGACGATGACGCGCGCGAGGCGCCGCGTCGTTTCTTCTTCTCGTTTGCGCGGCGAGAAACGATAGGAGAGAATTCCCATACAGCACACAAATGTTGAATCAACATCGCAGAAACGTTCCATTACAACATTGCAATATTGCATCAATGTTACGAAACGTAGATTCAACGTTGAAAAGATATTGCAAAAATGTCTAATGTCCGCTGAATCGTAATGTCTTGTAAACGTTACAATTCAACATTCAGAGAACGTTGTTAAATTATATTGAGTTAACATTGGTCGCGCTTAGCAAAACTTTTTTTACAGCTGTCGGAAGTTTTCTGTGCTGAAATTGGATTATTCCTCTAAAAGTAGCATCCCATACAGTACATAAATGTTGAACCAACATCTCAGATACGTTCCATTACAACATTGCAGTATTGCATCAATGTTACGAAATGTAGATTCAACGTTGAAAAGATATTGCAAAAACGTCTAATGTCCGCCGAATTGTAATGTCTCGTAAACGTTACAATTCAACATTCAGAAAACATTGTCAAATTATATTGAGTTAACATTGGCCGCGTTTAGCAGAATATTTTTTTACAACTGTTGGAAGTGCTGCAATTGAATTATTCCACTAAAAAAATAATAATCCAATCTTAGCTCAGAAAATTTCTGGAATAATGGAACATTTTACGCTTATTTGAATATTCTTAGATATTCTGCAAACATTCCGGAATGTTTGGAAATATTCTTGGGATGTTAAATTTGAATTTTAGGAACATTTTATAATTGTTCCAGCATTATTTAGAAATTACTGGGTGCTATGCGTTTTCTTCGATATGCAGACATTTCTACAAAACAAATAATTAGACACATAATAGCAATGAATCGCAATTGAGTATTAAAAAATAATAATTTGTTCACTATCGTTTTAACGTTGCAGCAACATAAAGAATCAATGTACAAAAATTAACTTAGATTCAACGTTGAAAGCATATTTGTACTTCAACATTGCAACGTTTCAGCAACGTCACTTTAACTTTCTGTGCTGTATGGGGAAACGCCGACGGGGTCCGCTGACGTCGAGGTGTTGAGTTCCGAGTCGAATCGTCAGGCGGACCAACTCAACAGTCAATATTGCGTACGACCGCGCTCGTAATCGGTGCCGGTAAATTTATCGCGGTAACGGCGATCCGCGGTAACGCATAAGTACGAAAGGATACGTCTATCTTATGCCCTGGTAGCACGGTGCATTGGCTCAACATTGGCCCAATACAACGAGATATCGGGCCAATGTTTAACCAACGTTTGGTCAATGCACTGCGCTACTGGGCTGTAATTAACGGCGCTAAGTGAGATCGAAGCGAGCGCGGGCCGCGTGACGCGGGCCTCGCGCCAGAAAATACAGGTCGGCGATAAGAAAGTAAATCTAGAGCTGGAAGACCAACTGGAAACAAAACGCCGTCTCTCTCTTCCGCGTCCTTATCTCCCGACGATACGCCGAGGGCAGATCGAGACTGGTAGCGAATTCGATTGCTCGCACCAGTGCGCACTGAGCGCACGCTAAGGCCGCCCAGCGAGAACTGACTTCGTCGATCGATGTCGAAACATCGTTTTGACGAAGTCGAGCTGGGCTGTTCATAGTCAACTTTCATATTTAACTTGGTCCTAAAGACACGTTCCAAAAGTATTTAACCAAAATGTCCCTAGTAGCACAGTGACTAAACATTGGTCCAATGTTGGTTATAATAGAAATGCATTGGCCGATATTGTCCAACGTAAAGCCAATATTGGCCAAGGGTTTAAATGCAAACATTGCACGATAATAATTACGTAATATTAGATTTAGATTAAGAGTGCATTGGCCAATATTTAACAATGTAATAAAAATATTGGTCTGATATTGATACAATGTTAGAAACGCATTGGCCGATATTGTCTAACGTAAAGCCAATATTGAGCAAAGGTTTAAATGTAAATATTGCACGATACTAATTATGTAATATCAGATTTAGATTGAAAGTGCATTGACCAATATTTAACAATGCTATAAGAATATCGGTCTAATATTGATACAATGTTAGACCAACATTGCTGAATAGACATGGGCTAAATAAGAGAAGGCGTCCATCTTACAATATTGGACCAATATTGGGAACACTAGATTAACATTATTTCCCGAATAAAGTGTGCTACCAGGGATTTTACTGGCTACGAAATATTGCAAGAGATATTTAAGACGATTCTTAAATATAAGAATCGACTGTAAACAAGCCCCCGCGTGCGCACTCAGTGCGCACTAGTGCGAGCGACCGATCTCGCCGCAATCCGAGGTCCAGCCACAGAGCGTTTTCCCGACGCGCGCGGCGCGTATCTATACCGCGAGATAAGGGAGCGCGTGCGAAAGCGCTTCGTATGCGTATCGCGTGCGTACGCGCGCGCGTGTGCGTGCGTGGAACGGATTACGGAGGGATCGTGATTAACCCTTAACCGGTCGCAGGTCCCCGACGAACGTTCTCTTTGGTACCCGGGCATTGCACCGGCCGGGGGCGAAGTCTCTTCGGAGAAGGAAACGAAACAGAAAGGTGGTAACGAAACCGTGTCGGACGTGTGTACTCGTACTCACCAGTTAAGGGTTAAATATTGGTTTCGAGCGGCGCGCGTGCGAATCCACCCTCGGGGGGACGATTGCCGGCGAATTCGATCGCGAGACAAACGAGCCGAGCCCCGAGCCGCGCCGAGGCGGAAAGTGCGCCGGCCCGCGTAGTCGCCTGGCGGCACGGACGTTAGATTATCATCTCGTTCTCCCTGTTCTCGTTCCTCTGGTTCTCCTCGTACTCGTCGCAGCAGCAACAGTTGGACGTGCAGTCCTCCTGGCCCTCGCCCACGTACGTCATGTACGTATCGATGCTCTTGGCGTCCAGGGACGGCAGGGACCACGAGAGCGAGGTCGTCTCGAGGTCCGGGATGGTCGTGTGCCAGGAGCTGGGATTGTACGACCGCTTGGCCTTGCGGCTCCTCGTGGACAGCTTCTTGATCGCCTGCGGGGAGGAAGCGGTTTCGCCCCGATATGAATGACGAACGAACGGAAAAAAGGAGCCGCGGGGGTGGAAAAAGAGGGCTGGGGGAGGAGGGAAAAACGGAGCGCGCTCCGTCGCGAGGAGGTCGGGTTACGTGTGGCCGATTGTCACGATAGAGTTATCCGTTGACTTGGAATCACGCCACGGCACGTATAAGAACATCGATCCGCGATAATTGAGCGCCGCGCGCGCGGAAATTTCACGCCTAGGCGGAATGACGTAAAACGGCCACCGTGCGAATTAATCCTTCGCGACGTGTTCGGCCGAAAAGACCTCGCGCGAGACGAGGGCGGGCTATACAAGGCCAAGTGGAATCGGACGTTCGAGCTGCTACCGGGAGCGACCCGTCGAAATCGAAAACCGCGAAATCTCCTCGGCGGAATCTGGGTCGCGCCACGCGGCGCCGAGACGCGCGTGCAACAGTTTCGAAGGAGCGCACTCGAGGAGGAGAGTCGTCCGACGGGACACGGGGCTGGTGCGGGGTGGGAAAAAAACCGGGACCGCTTACCCGCAGGAGCCTGCGGCCGGACTTGCCAAGGAACTTCTTCAGCATCGCGGCGGCCGCCGATCGGTCCCTCGTCCTCCGAGCGTCGTCGCCCTTTCTCGCCACCCCGAGGAGCAGGCAACCTCCCCCGTTCGCCGATCCGTTTCTCTCCGCGGGCGCGAGACCTGACACGCGCCGGGATTGATTTTCGGCCGTGTGCGCGCCTCTCTCTATCCGCCCTACGCGGTGTAGTCGCCGCCGTCCGTCGCTCAGATCGATGCGAACGCTACGGCGTCACGCGACGAAATACCGCTCCGGTACGCCGCGCCTCCCCATTTATGACCCCGACCGGCGCGGCGCGGTGCGCCGCGACGCCGGCGACTCCGCACGAGCGTCCCCGAGCCCCGAGCGCAGCGCTCGCTGCCGCCCGCAACCCCCTCGGCGCGGGAAGACTTCCGGAGGCTGCGATCGCCGGAGAGGCGGGCGGCGGCGTGCTCGAGGCAGTTAACCCTCGCGGAGATGGGGACTAATGAGCGACCGGACTAATTACGCCCGGCTTGACGCAATAGTAATTTCCACCCCGCCGTCCTTTCCGACCGGGTTGATTTTAATTGGCGGTCTTAAACGCGGCGGCGGATTAACATCCGCTTATATGTAACGTTTCGCAAACCGCGGTTGGTTCCGCCACAGGGAGGGATGATTCCTCGAAACAATGTCCATTCGACATCAATTTGACGGTGTCGATGATTTTTTAGATGAATTTTAAGAGAAAATTCTCCCCGTGTTGTTTTAACGATTTTCCGACTGAGTCGACGTCTCTCCCGTTTCTCCGAACATCCGCCTGACTTCTGCACGCGTTTTCCTTTCATTTGTTAATTATTAATCGAGAATAGCAATCAATCGAATATATTTGTAAGGAATGACTGGACGAAATCTTATAAGTCGCAATTAAAACTTCAGAAGATTGCTTGACGTATCTGGCACATTTTAACGCAAATTTCAACACAGTTATCACTTGAGAAGGACCACAAACCATGGTCGAAACGTTCTGAGTTTAAACATAAAAATTTGCCATAGTCAAGCAATCTTCTGAAGTTTTATATTTGTAAGGCTTTAATATTTCTCGTAGTCATTCGCGCTTACAAAAATATCTTATAAATCATCTTGCAAAACATTGCGATGGGAGAAATGTTCTTGCCGATATTCAATTTAAAATTGCAAGTAAGTAATAACAAGCGAGAGTGAATCAAGACGATTCCATCTGGTGCCGATTAATCAATGCACAATTCGATAAGGAATACGCGCGTGCACGCGTGTGTGGTGCGCCGCGCGATGGGACAGAACGAGTGCCCAATGGCCCGTGGGGAATACAGGCGAGAATAAGAACGAATTGGATTAATGCACGAATGATTGAATGAGAAAATCCACCGCGTGAGGCAATCGCCGATCGACGGAAGCGCTGACACACGCGGTAATCTCATTGGTATCGCGATTCCAGTCGATTAATTCGCCCAAGTATCGGCCGCTATACGTGATTGTATTTCTATGCCCCCATGGAAAAAAATATATTTTTAAATGTGGGTAAAAATATATGTATTATATTTCATATATTTGGTATATAGAAATTATATTTAAAAATCATATGTAATATTATATATGTCAAAATTATAATAAAAATATACGTAAAATACGTGAATATATGTAAATCACATATTTATAATAAGGATGTAACACATTTGCCTATATATTTATATTATATTGTAAATGATATATGAAAAATGCGAATTTTTGTACATTAGTAGTGCATTTTTATATCGCATATACGAGTTATATAAAACTAGTGTACCATTTCTACTTTTCTTTATATGTATAATGAAATATTTTCACCAATGTCGTTTAACTTTGACCTTAGTTTAATTCATCCTTTGTTTCTTTCCAAATGGAGAGAGGTCCAAGTTCCAGCATTGTGGACACAGGCCTCAACTGTCAAAAGAGACAAAGGATGAATTAAACTAACAATAAGATCAGAGTTAAACGACGTTGGTGAAAAATACGATCCTAGATAGCACAAAGGTGAACATAAGTTCATAGAGATTTCATTTTCAAGAATACCTGCAAAATTAGAAAACTGAAGAATTTTTGAAGAATCAGTTCGTTTTGAAATATTCATCAGAAGTTTATCATCGTGCAGGCAACTTCTCTAATCATCCTTATTGTATTCTTCCATGAATTCCTGAAGAATTACGATTCAGAAAGGGAGCGAACTTTAAGAATACTCTGCGAATTTACCGTGCGATCCCAGAGAGAAATGATTCGTCGATCGATGTCGAAAAGATGGCGAATAGATATCGACACTTTCAAATTGATGTCGACTCGATATTGTTTTGACATCGATGGATGAATCATTTCTCACTGGATCCGGGTTGGGTAACGTTGCACATCCGTGAGTAATCGCGCGTAGATCAGAAAGGTTCAAGGTTCAACGTTATTCCAATATTGGTCGGATAGAGTTAATTAATTTTCGTTCACGCGTGGATTATTGGACGACACTTATGAATTATTTATCCGCCTGGCTCTCGTGGCGAATTGTGCCACCTGCACCCAATGTGCGTGCGATACGCGCAGGAGCAAGGACCAAACACGAGTCGCGGCGTGGTGCACGCGTGCACGTGCACGCACGTGCACTATCACACGTATACAAACACGTGGAGAACGTTTCGCGGGATGTCGTCGGGCGTAAAACCGGAGACGTTCGCCGGGAGGGAAAATTAAGGATGAAAGGGCGGCGATAAACGCGGTTACACTCGGCGCCGTTTCGTAACACTTTCGCTCCGTCTCGTCGAGGATTCGAACAAGTTTGCGCGTATAAAGCGCCAACACCCGCGTACACGTGCGTCGCACACGCAACGTAGAATGTGCGTGGCGCTACCGACTTATTGTACGCCCCGGGTCTTCATTACGTTTTCATTCGACTCGACATATCGTATCTCAGCGAATCGTCACGGATCTCTTGCTTCTCGTGCAACTTTCCCAGTTGCTTCCGACAATGCGATACTTACGCGTCGTTATTACCCTATTGATAGTTCAGCAAATGTTTAAAGTTCCTTTACGATTCCCATTCCCATTCTATTTGCTCGTCTCCCTGCTCTTTAATCTTCAAATGTCAAATATTTAGCTTCTAACAATTCCTGCGGCTCTCAATAAAATTTCGCACACATGCGCTTTAAAATGTCATTAGCTCTTTCATGCGCGGCCGCCACAATTCGGGTGCATCGTATTCCGGAATATACATATATATGAAAAAAAAATGAAATGTAATCGATAATGTCGATTACATGACACTTGATAGTCACCTGGTGAGAACACTAATGTCGAATCAACGTCGAATCGACGTCAATGGGGTCGAAAACGCGTCCCAAGCGTCAGTTTTCGAAAATAATCAAGCTTTGAAACTTTATTTGTTTGTATCAAATTACTACGTTCAACGTCCCGTTGAGTGAATACTTTTAGCGTCTTATTGGAGAGAACTGCAAAGTTAACTTGTTTAATACATCATTCTTTTAACAAACGCCCCATGCCAAATGAGTCGGAAAGAATACACAAGATTCATGGGGAAAACACCATTAAGCCCTACGGACTACGGACTGAGATTGAGATTAGATTGGAATTTGACCAATTCGAGTAAAAGTTACTAAACTTGGGATTAGTAAACTTTACTGCGATTGGTCAAATTTCAATCTAATCCCAATCTCAATCCGTAGTCCGATACGGGCTTTACTCTACCAAGACCTAACAGGACCGAAAGTGGCGTTCCCTTTAATTAATTGCGTTTATCCAATACCGATTTCGGTTGCTTGCACTGAGTGCGTACTAAGGCTTGTTCACAGTCAATTCTTATATATGTAAGGACCGTCTTAAATATCCCTTGAAATATTTCTTAGTCAGTAAAATGATCTGTATAGCATCTTAAATACATTTGAGAATGTATTTAAGATAAAGTTAAATGTAAAAATTGACCATAAACAGACCTTGGTGTGCACTGGTGCAAGCAACCGAATTCGCTATACACACCGAGAGACCCATTTTGTCGAATGAAACGAAACAATTTGATTGAATCATTTTGTTGATGAATGAATCGTTTAGTTGAATATATTATAAAAGGATTCTGCGCATGTTCACTCAACCAAATTTGTGTGTTGATATAACAAAATTTTCCAACTAAATTTTGTTATTGTATCAACTGAAAGATTTGTTTGCTCACATCCAAACAAGAAATTCAGTCGAGTCAACTAAATTTTGTTTCATTCAACAAAATGGGTCTCTCAGTGCATGTTGCATCGTATCCGTTCTTTGATCAGAGCGAGATGAAACGCGAACGACCGAGCGGTCGCACGTGAATGGAACTTGATCGATACCTCTCGGAGGATGCACCGGGAAGTCGAGAGCGAGCGCGCGAGTAAATCCCGGGAGCCCACGCGCTTTACTCCTCTCTTCTTCTTCTTCTTCTCTCTCTCTCTCACGGTGCACACACGTGCGTGTCGTGTGCATGTGACGCGTGTGAGCGCGGCCGTTCTCACGCGGCGGCACGCGCCGCGTTCCCCCTTTCGCTCCCCCTCCCCTCCCGATGCGTGTCGTCAGCCACGTGCCACCCCCGAGTGGCTCTACGGAAAACTCATAATTGTCATAACATACGAGCACGTCGCCGCGAGCCGAGGATCGCCCTCCGTCCGTCCGTTCCCACCCCAGCTCGGAATTGAAATCGCGAGGTGCACTCCGGTTAGCTAATCGCTCGGTGGCTCCGACAAATCTCCGCCGGGATCGCGTTATCTCGAAGCAACAATCGCGCCTTATCGAGCTAAGTGCTTGGTCGCAACTCGACACCAAAGTACCGGATCGTCCCACAGGTACGCGGAGGGAATTTTCTCTTAAAATTTATCCTGAAAATTATGTGAACGTGGCACAACATGGCAGTTCGAACAACTTGATGAGAAGTTTTTTCAAATTTTACCGCACATTTTACTAGTAAAATGTACACTAGGTATAATTACTAGTGAAATGTGTGGAAAAATTTCGAAAACTCGTAAAATTCTTCTAAAAGCCGTTACATAATTTTCGATTACATAATTTTCCGGATAAATTTGGCAAGAAAATTCTCTCCGCGTAGTGCGCCTTTTTAGAGAATATTTTTTAAATGAAGCAAAACAATCGGACATTGAAATTTTAACCCAGAATACACATTCCATTGTTATTTTCAGCTTCTTTCCATTTTCGGGGAATAAATCGAGCTCCCTTTCATGCCGCATTGTTTCGCGGGA